CGAGGTTATATGCCGACCTCCCCGAAAGGATCGGCATATAACCTCGAAGACTACATCGAACAAAATCACCATGCACGCTCAGTTGTGTCAGCTCTACGAAAGAAAGCGGATGAAGGCGAAATCCATCTAGCAAAATCATTGATATGGACAACTAGCGTAGGGTCCTGCGAAGCGTGCTGCCATGCTCGTTAGGCGTTCTGACTGAAACAGAGAAGAGAAAACTCCAGGTGTGGGACTCGGGATGAGGTAACGCATCCCCATATCTTAGGAAACCGCCACGAGATTTTTGGTGAAGGATTATCGTCGAATCCTGGCCTATTCCTCTAATAATGAACAGCATCATCTGCACCATTGAAATCAAGTACTTGTATCCAGAAAAGCGGTCTCAGAGAAACAAAATTTTTATTGACCTGAACGGAAGTTTGCTCAACAAAGCCCTGCCTTGGCCCGGTCTTTCATTGAATTTCTCTTCTCCGCTTTCAGTCAGAACGCCTAACGAGCATGGCAGCACGCTTCGCAGGACCCTACGCTAGTTGTCCATATCAATGATTTTGCTAGAGGATTTCATTTTATCCGCTTTTTGCGTAGAGCTGACACCAACTGAGCGTGCATGGTGATTTTGTTCGATGTAGTCTTCGAGGTTATATGCCAATCCTTTGGGGAGGTTCTTGTGATTATCCTGGTGCTCTCTTATTTCTATTCGTAGTGAGAGTTTGGAGTACCAAGCTACGGTTTTCCTTGAACATCCAAAAATGGCTTCGATGGTCGTGGTAGAGCCATCAGGCGCATGTAAAAGCATCGTCTGGCTTCCACTCACGGAGGGGAGGTGATCGTTCGAAACCGCAGTTCCAATAGAGTTGCCATACACTTAATAAGAGCTACTTCCGTTGATGGTTGGTTAAAAAAAATTACAGTAAAGAGAATTCTGAGGGGTGTCCTATGATTTTGCAACGGCTCCAAAATCAAAAAATTTATCTAAAAATACGGAAAACTAATCGGATAAGCTGGTAACTTGTGAGTATAGGTTTTTCATGAAGGCGGTTCTGACATTACAGGTTGCGATGAACGACGTTCTCTAGAAGCCGAGATATTCATGTTTTTGGGGGTGTCCTATGATTTTGCAACGCACTGTAGAATTCCGGGGTTGTAATAGTGCAGTACCGCCAGCCTCCTTGCTTGCTAGTTGTTGTCTCAATGCTCTCACAGAGTGCTCCTTATGGTCAGAGACACCTTCAACTAACTTTTGATTATTTGAAAATTTTAATTTACCTAATATATTTCAGGTCGCACAAGATCCGGAGTTTGACAAACAGCAAGGGAAGACATCCTCGTTCAGTTTGTTCTAGGTATTACTTCACTAACCTCGTGAGCGTGGCTGTCACGTTTGCTAAGATTTCGGTCGTAATTTTATAGTTTGGTAGGCTCGTGAATAAATTTTAGATTACCAATTCGTGAGTATTATTAAGTTGGAGTTTTCCGATTGATACGTCATGTACATTATTCGCAAGAGTTCTCGAAAAATTTTCTGTCGATCCGAATCACAATAATTCTATTCTTCTCTTCTTTGTTTTAAACAAGGCTCATGTGACGAAAGAGCCATTCATGAACATTTCATCATGCCCTTCACACACCCTGCCCACTGAGGCGGGGTTCGCCTCAGTGGGCAGGGTGTTGTCCTGTTTGGAAATTCCCCTAGTGGCAACGGTACTCTGTTCCGGAGCGTTTTCGTTTTCCTTTTCATACTTCATGAATATATTTGACAAGACGTATGCATTATTTGGGCGTTTTCTCCTGCGAGCTTCTATTGTTTTCTTCGACGGAGTGTCTTTTAATGACAAACCTTGGCATACATGACATTCATGGCAGAGAAAGATGGATAGTGGGGAAACCATAGAGGAGGCTTCGAATAAACATCGCTGCAGTAAGCACCCTATCAACAAAGATATGATGTGCAAAAGTGTCCAACGGAATCTGGACTCCGGGTATTATGCATGATTTTCTCTCTGGTTTTTTGAAAAATTTTGCTTTTTTTGAAGCGCACTATTTGGCACCTCATTCACATTTCAACGGTATCAGCTTATCGCGAGTTCTGCCTTCAGAATAAGGCATAGCTCTATGAGAAAAAAAAGTCGAAAATCTCATTCTCGGCGATCGCTTTCAACGCCGAAACGACTTGATGCATCTTCTTCATACATTGATAGGGGTGTGACTCACTAGGACAGGAAGCGACTTTTTCGCGTTCCCCGCGAAACATTTTTCGCTGCGGGATCTTCAGGTCTACCCATGACCCACGAAAAAGTCACTCTCTACGGTTCCCCCACTTTCTTCACGATTTGGGGCGCGGCCGCGGCGAGCGCGGACGAGTTGATAGTGCCCGCGAACTGTGGTGGTGGAGCGTTTTCAAATTTACCCGCACAGTTCGCGGGCACTATCGACTCGTCCGCGCTCGCCGCGGCCGCGCCCCAAATCGTGAAGAAAGTGGGGGAGCCGCTTTCTGCCTAGTGAACCACACCCTTGATAGGATGGGGTGGGGGAATACATCTATTGCTAAAATGTTAGCAATTTGAAAAGTAGCAGTCTTGATGTGGACAGCTTGCTGAGGCTTGGTTAACAAGGGGCAGCGGCATGGTTTATTGCTTGAGCATTGCTTTTTCTTTTTTCGCTTTTCAAAAACTCGACAAGCCATTGTAGCGTGCATTGATGGCAAATGGTTTGTTTATCCACTATGCGATTGGGGAGTTGAACAACCGACAATTTTCGGGCTGGTATTATGCTAGTGGTGCAGGCGTTGTCTTCGGTATAGCGGATTATCTTGGAGGTTGTGTGTGTCATGTCACAGGGCTGAAGTTCCATTGGGGATCGTCAGGGGAAGTGTGACCACGGACTTGTACCCGTCGTAGTCGTAAGTGTAAGCGTCAGGTAAAAACGGATAGAGGGGTTACGACGAAGTTTAGTGAGAACAAAACTGCCGCGAATTCGTGAAACAACAGTAAACTGTGAAATTTCGATTCTATGTCTGTACAACGCGAAGGAAAGAAATGTGTTCTTGTTATTCATAACGTGTCTTCTGACGGATGGGCACTGACTCAACGTAAATTAATCAGATTTGTACCCATTCACTCACAACATTTCAAGGCAATACCTAGAGCTCATGGCACATTTGCAGGATGTTGTTAACAAATTGCAGAAATGTTGCTTACAAACAAGGACAGTATGTTGGGAAGATAAGGTTTGTCAAATGTAGGTAGCCACAACTGATTTCTTCAAGCCTTTTTTCTTCGCTCATGAGCAATTCATTAGTATTCACCCTTTCGTTCAGAGAATACTTCTACTATATTAATCATGAAGGAATGTTGTTCCTTGATGACTCACGATTCAAGAACTTCACATCTGCTTACAAGGGTTTGTCAGTCTATCTCAGACTCTTTTCGAATAGTTTAGATGAGCTTATCTCTTTCTCTTCATGTAATATAGTGAAAAAATTATATAGCATTCAGTGATAGCGGAATGAAAATTTGCAGCTGAGTACTTTCTAACAGCCGCGC